AACTCCATGGAGAGTGGGAGCTGGATAAAATCCACCTGAAGGTGCTCAATGGTCCTGGAGGCTTTGGTTCCTGGCTGGGCCTCATCTGTACAAGTTTTTCTAGGATTATGTTGTTCACAAGTAAAGCATGTCCCCAAAATAATCTCAGCTGTCTTTTTAAAGTTTTCCCACCAATGTTGATTTAAGACAGTAATCAATTTGTCTTTACCATGATGAGTAGTTCCATGGAAAAATGCAGGTAACATCAACTTGAAGTCATCTAGTGCCACCAAATGGCCATCTCGAGAGTCCCAAGGATTATCTGAGTGAAGGAAACACCACATTTCTTCCATTCTTCCTTTTCCAAATCATGAAATTTTGAGGTGGATATTTGACAATGGCTTCTTTGACTCAGTCCAGAGATTCATCTTTTAGGGGTTTGGCTAGTATTATAACCTTGGCTAAGGATGCTAGTTTGGCAAAATGATCTACTAGAGCATTTTCTATCTCTGTTACCATGGGCCTCCATCTTTATAATAACCATCTCACTGGGAAGCAGAAGTGCATCTAAAACTTCCTTAACTCGTACACTTTTGATGGGGATTCCAGCAGAAGTGAGAAACCCTTTTTGTTTCTAAAGCATTATGTCCTACTCCAGAAGCTTATCTACTATCTGCATATATGTTTACTCTCTGGTCTTCAGCTAGTTGACAAGCTCTAATAAGTGTTATAAATTCTGCCATCTGGACTAACTGCCCCTCAGGGAGAGGGCTATCCTGTAACAGAGAGTTCATATCAGTGATAGCATTAGTGATAGCGTGAGCATCTCCAGCTTCAATTTTGAAGTATGATTCATCAACAAATATCAAGTCAGGATTCTCAAGGGGAGTCTCTAATAAAGCGGAGCAAGGTACAGGAAGCTCCTTAAGATGATTGTGAAGTTCCCCTTCTTCTTGTAAGGGCAGGGGAGTGGCAGAATTCAGGGTGTTGTAGCAGTTGATAGTAATGTAAGAGCGAGAGGGCAACACAAGCTCCTAAGAGGTTAACTGACTGACTTAAAAGTGTTGTGTGTCCACAGTGAAGTCTTTACTCCATGTGGAACCATAAGGTCAAGCAGGGAGCCTAGAACTAATTCAGCAGAAGCATCAACAAGTTTTGCAGTGGCAGCGTTGCCCCAGGACAAGGGGTATCAATCACCCCTGCAACTGGAGTGAGGGTGAGGCTACAATAAGTGGTTTCTTTTTAACTTAAATTTTTTATTCTGAGATAATTATAGGTCTCATGCAGTAGTAGGAAATAATACAGAGAAATCCCATGTGCCCTTGACTCCCTGTCTCCCAAAGGCAACATCTTGCAAAACTATACTGGTAATAAAGTTCACACTTTAAAAAGTGATGAGTTTTTGATGGTTTTCATGAAGTCTGTTTAAAACCAAGGTGTGTCTAGAACACTCATGTACAAATTGACAAAGGGGTTGGTTGTTGTTATTGTTGTTAGGGATATCTAGGGAAGCGGGCTGTTGAAGAGCTTTCTTCAGATTATAGAAGGCTTGTTTGATACCTGGGCTCCCAGAATAGAGTGGCTCTTAATGAAGACTTAGCCATTTCATAAAGTGATGTCACAATCTCAGAAAAATTTGCACCCACAGTGTGAAATATCCAGGTAGACCTAGGTGTCATCTTAAGTGAAATGTTGTGAGCAGTCTAGGACAAGTTTGGATAGTCTTCATCCTGTCATGAGAGAATGTTTTTCCCTCCTTAAATAGGTCATGCCCTAAATAATGGACTGTGTTTTGGCAAAATTGCAATCTACCTTTTTTTGAAACTTTATGCCCCTGTTCTGCTAAGGCTGAGAGCAAGGAAGTGGAATCTTTTTTTATCTGAATAAAATTGGATATCATCTACATATTATATCAGAACTGAATCACAAGGGAAATTTGGATCTTTTACTTCTTGATTAAGGACTTAAAAAGAAAGGAAGGGGCTTCGGTGAACTCTTAGGGCCTAGCTGTCCATGTAGAGTGTTATCCCATCAGTTGAAGGCAAAAAGGTATTGACTGTCCTGGTGTAGAGACACACACCAGGAAAGGCAGTCAAAGACCCAAGGGTTGTACTTAAGGGCCGGAAGATTAGGAAAAACCTGTGAGTTATTTTGAATACCTACCACTTGTGTGCTATGTCTACACCAAAGAAGAAATTGAGCAAAGATGGCAGACCTTAGTGTAGAAAGATTAGTGTTGTTGGAAAATATTTTCTAGTTTATCCCAAAATCTCCTATAGTTTCATCTTTTTGCTTGTTGCATGATTGGATTATGCAATCAACTCTTATTGGAAATGTTTCAGGTGTGGCTTTTAGGAGCTTTTGACCTACTTTTATGGCTTTTTTTTTTCCACTCTGGAGTTTATTGAGTTTTGAGCCCTCTGATTGATCCTGCATTGGAAGCAGGGGCAAAAATTGGGGAAGTAGGCAGTCATTGACCAAGTCCTGACTTTTCTGGGTTATTTGCTGCATTTGTGGTCTAATTTCTCGGACTGGTTGCTGCAAAGGTTGTGGGTCCAGGGGCTATTGTCATATATGGTCTGGCCATCGTCTGCTTGTATGTTCAGTCCCTCACAGTGCAAGCTTGTCATTGATACTTTTAAGGCCTGGCTGGTGGACCATGTTTTACATGTGAGCTATTGAACTATATAGGTATATAATAACAATATTTGGACATACAGCATTTTATACTTTCTAATACAACTTCAAATACATTCTTCCCCTCTTTTATCCTTACAGAAATCTTGTGATCTGGGAGGTTAATTACCTAAGGTCACTCATCGGATTTGGGCTAGAAGTAGAGGAGTCAGTCATCATATAGGCTGATTTGTAATCTAACACTCAAATTGTCTGGTATAGCTATCACCTATAATGGCTTTAAAATAAATATCTTGGGCTCTATGCGCTGATAAAATGTCTGTTCCAATTGCTTCTAAATTCATTACTTAAAGTTAGGATAAAGCCTTGAAGGGTTATAGCTCCCTTCAAATACCTACAAGGCTGTCATGTGGAAGAAGGATTAGGTTTATTCCTATGGCTCCAGAGGGCAGAATTCACAGCAGTGAGTGGAAGAGAGGCAGATTTCAATTGAAATTATGAAATATCTTTCTAATAATGAGACACCTGCACCCAAAAGAAGGGGCTGCCTTGTGAAAGGGCCAGTTCTTATCTCTCTTAGTGTCTTGAGTAGAACTCCGTGATTTCATACCTCTAGAGAGTGCTTGAACTGGCCAGGTCAGCTAATCTCAAGGGACATCACAAATTTCAAGTTTATTAAATGTTTTTAAATCATAAAAAGAGGCATAGACATTTTAAATCCAGCCATTTAACATCATTTAAATTCTGGATGAAATTATTATGTTTCTCAAAAAAGCTCTATTTTAAACTTTACCCCTAGACTCTTCCTTGAATTATTATTTTTGTCCTTATGCCCATATATTTTCCAAAAACATTGTTTAAAAAGTGGGGGGAAAGAAGTTAAGTCTTAATAAAAGTCCTAATAGGAAGTCATCTGATTCAATCTTCCATCTGCATCATTTTCTGATGGCACAGTTATAAAACTTTATACCAAATGCATTGCTCTTAATTTTGGGTGTTTTAATAAATTGTAAGAATTCAATGAGGTTTCAAAAAGAGAGAGAGAAATCCCTTCATTTGAATGGTAAATGCTATGATTTTAATCTGTAATAGTAACTCTTTGAACGTGATCTTTTTCTTCTTTGTGGCTTCTTTTTTAATGCTCCCTCAGGTTAAATGCAGTTATATTCTTTTCTAGTTTACAAATAACTTGAAGCTGAAATACAACAGTGAGTCCCCTTCTACACCTGAATTGTGATTGTTTGATTTTGTTTTGCAAGGACTTCCGAAGAATCCTCTTCTCAATCTACCCTTTACCTGCCCCTTTTAACTGTTTACATTGAACCCCCTAATTTTTGCCTGGAGGTACTTCTTTTTGATTTTGGGTTCCTCTCTTTTGAAAGACAATATAGAATCCTGGGGATTCTGCCAAATCTAAGAAGTCATTGCAGAAGTCAAGAGGACAAGAAGCTGGGGCAGAAAGAAATGCCCTCTGCACAAATCCAGTTGCTCTGAGTCGTCTTTGACAACTTCCGGGACCAGACTTAAGGTGGTGTTCGAAATGTTTTCATTACTATGTCTATTTAGTTTTATATGACTGTAATATTTACATATGTATACGTATGGCAAGTGGACAGAGAAAGCAATGACGTGAGGCTCCTTGAGAATAGGTAGTGATAAGGAAATAAAACAGGTGTTTGGAGAGGGGTTCTGTAAGAGAAGGGAGAACTGAGAGTTAATACCCATCATTCAGACAAGCAGTTCTCTACAGGTAGCTGACTGGAAATGCGAACTCGTGCACCCTCTTTGGGGACAGGCTGTGTTGCTTTCTATTTCTTTGCTTGCAGCCAGGTGCACATTTATTTGAAACGGAATGAATTTTCTGCTCAATGGCCGGTCAGGTTAACGCTTCAAGACTAGTGGATATTTCTTTTTAATGTCTCCAATGCTATTTTTTCCTTTTTTTTTTTTCTTTCTTTTTGAGATTGAGGAGGAAGAGCTCGGTTTAAATTCTGGTTGGGTAAGTGGGGGATTCTCAGAAAGAGAAAGGGGGAAGGAAACGGACTTAAAAGCCAGAGAGCAAAGCACCAGCCCTCGGCCCCCACATCCTCCGCACCCCCTACCTCCGCCCCGTGACCTCCCGAGGAGACCCCAGGCGGCTGCATCAATATTTGATCAGCTTTTCACCAGCGCGTTGCCAGCACTCGTCGGCGGGGCTTGCCAGGCATCGCCCGCGCTACGCTGAAGCCCGCGCCGGCGCCCGAAGGGGCTTCGGAAGGACCGGGCGCTGCGCTCGCCCTCTCCGCAGGACGGCTCGGCTTCGCGGCCGGGGCGCGGCGCCTACCATGCGGGGCTGCAGGCGGCTCGCGCTGCTCTGCG